GCAACACACGCCATACAAAACAAACATAATTTCCCCCCACCAGAGAACATAAAACTCATAAAACAAGTCAACAAGGGAAACCGCATGGACATTTGGGAAAACTTGAATATCCATAAATTTAACAGTCATAAATCACTTATCGAGGAACAAGTACAAATCAAAACACAATAAGACCTCATATTCAGTATATTCAGTATCAGAATTGCACCCGTGCGGAGCCGGAGCGGGTCTCTAGTTTATTACAAAAAACAAGTTGGGGTTATCAGTTTGACTTTTTTCTTCCGCGTTTGAAAGCCGTCGTATTTTTGAATTTCTTCCTGACATTTGGCTGGCGCAAGTGGCTAGCTTCTTCAAAGAGGTTCACACATTTTGAATTTATCTCCGATGATTGAGTATTCTGACTGCGTAAAGCATAATTAGTTTGATTCAGGTAGTTAAGTCTGCTAATTTCTGTACCTGGATTAGGGAAATTGTCTATTACCCTTTTCTAATTACCGTCATGATGTTTGTTAGTCTTGAACTCCTTAGAATGGGATTTTATATTCGGTTGAGGAGCACAACATCTTATTTTCTGTTGAAATTATTCGTGTGTTTGTGGATTTCTGTTGCCTCCCGTACCAGTCGGCTATGATATCCCTGGTTGGGGGCAATGAGTTTCGTGTTTCCTTCACTGAGTGAATGTTCCGCCACAGTCGACTTTTCCGTTTGGCCTAGTCTGCAGTTTCTTTCATGCTCCTTCAATTTTGTTACCTTGAATCTTTGGTGGTTCCGATGTATACCTTCCCACAAGTGCACAATATACGATATACCCCAGCTGCGGATAGTGGGTCTCTTTTGTCTATAGCCGACCTGAGGCTAGCCCCCTCAAAAAGTCTTCCAGTGGGTCGTTGGTAAACAAGGACACAACATCAAAGCTGACCAGGATATCTGTTGGCTTCAGAGTTAAGTCCATTTTTACCAACGAAGTCCATCCAATCCAGGGTTTAGGCTTTTTGAGGCTGCAATCTCTCTTTTTCGGATATTGCATATTACGTATTGGTAATAATTCCTTCGTTTGATACTTGGGGCAGAATTATCGCAAAATCACCGCCTAGTGCTAACACTAACATTTCTGAGCGTGGGGAGGCCCACGCTCAGACATGTCGAGAGTATTTATAAACCGAACAAACCGGGTCTCACTGAAGACGAAATGTCAGTGTTAGCACGAAGCGGTAATTTCGCAATCATTCAAAA